AAAAAAGCAACACCTGCTTTGTTTTATGCTTATGCCATAGTTTTTGAAGAGCATTTGGAAATAAACATCTTTTAATTTCCAAAATATTATTAGTTAAAATGTAATTTCCATTCATTAATGACAAGATTATCTAGAGCAGCAGCATTTGGGTATGTACTGATAATCTGGTAAATAAAGTCTTTTTATAGTCGCATGGAGCTTTGATTGTTTATCTGTTTGTAGGGGGAAATGTTTGGGCGTGATTGGGTTATTTATCCTGGTATAATGCTTTAGGTCACTGAAGTTACACAATTTCCAGAGTTTTGCAAAGCAGTTATTGGGAGAATAAATAACCTATGTGTCTTCCTCTTAGCTCTGGTCAAATGTGTACTCATGGAGTCTTAAAACTGCACTTTCTTAAGCACACATCAGCAGCCATCTAGGTTTGATTGCCCAATTTTATGTAGTGTCAGGTCATTTTTTTGAAAAATGTAGTTTAAAAACAGAGTTTATACTTTTAATGACTGAATTACATGGTAGGTAAAACTGTATCTCAACAAAGTTTTTATTTTTACATTTTAAAAAGGGAACTAGAACAAAAGGGTAACATATTAGAACAACAAGTGCCCTGAACTCACTGATGATTTGTTGAATGAGTGAAGGCTTAAACAGAAAGAGAATTGTTTTTTATTTTTACATCATTTTGTGCCTTTTTCCATCTTAGTTGTAATCCCTGTGGGTTTCCCATCACCAAATCACTCATGTGCCATCACCATAGTCCAGTGCACTTCCCTCCCCACTCTGTTTTTGATCCCATTCCCCATTCTACCCCCATAAAATGTCTCTGGTATATAGTCGTTCATTATTATTATTTTCTCACCTGGTCCTTTATACTCCTGCTATGAGTGAAACCATCTGGTATTTTTCCTTTTCTTAAACAGAAATAGAATCATAATCAACTTTAATTAGGATTTAGATCATTGGTAAAAAGGTAAAAAATCTTCCCCACCCTGAACTTTAAACTTTTTGTTAAAGAATTTATTTATTTATGCATACAAGAACTGGAGTTGCAGGTCAGAGGCATGGGGGTGAGAGGATTCATCAAAGAGAGTGGGGAGCAGAGCAGACAGATTTACTGAAATATACTGCTGAGAGAAGCAGTGGGTGAGACACCTTCCTGGTTGGATATAGAACTCATATTGCAGTGGCTGGTGATAGCTTGATAACATGTGTCTTTAACCCCTGCACCACTAGGGAGGCTGCCCAAACCCTCATCTTTAAGAATATTTAAAGAAAGTCTCTACTTACAAACTGTAATTAATTTTTAGCATTATTCTAAGAAACTGAGAAAAAATTAAAAGGAGGAAATCAGTTTGCAAGTACAAATTGAATTATGAAAGCAATATTTAAATTCTGAGAATGGTAAATATATGGTAGTCAGCACCCAAGATTGATTTCCACTCCCTGAACCCTATGTAATCTCCTCCCACACAATATTAGGACTGTTCTGTATGGCCGGTACTATATGGCAGAAGAGACTGGCTGTCAGTTACAAGGTTAAGTAAAAGTGTAGTCACTATGCCAGCAGTAACATCTCTCAGTCAATTGTTCCAGGAGAAATGAGCTGCCATGTCATGAGCAGCCATATGGAGAGGCCATGTGGAAAGAAAATGAGCCTTCTACTAATAACCACACAGCAAACTAAGCAGATCACAGGTTAAGACTTCAGATAACTGCAGTCCCAGCTAACAGCTTAACTGCAATTTCCTAAGTGACTCAGACATAAAGGTAAGGCTAAGCTCCCCCTGGGTCCCAGGGAGATTGAATTTGCACTGAAGTGGCCACAGCCAGCTTCACAGTGCTGTACTTTAACATATGTTGTCACCAAGAAGGGCCCAATATTTGTTGCTTTAAACTACTAAATTGTGGGCAATTCATTACACAGCAAGAGATAACTAATATAATAAAGATTAAGAGAACTGACAAAATGTTGAGATCCCAGATTAATGAAATAATACAGGCTTTTCTAGAAAACAAAGAATAATGAAATTCTCTAAGACCTTTTTCCCTTGGACCTTCTACCCTACTGATTCCTTCTTCAGCAAAAGTTTTAAACATGCTCAACTAGAAGAACTTACTCTCTTTGTAGAAATATTTCTGTGTAATGAGAAATATTTCTGTGTAATGAGAAATATTTCTGTGTAATAAATTTAGATTTCCTTTAAGTTGGTCATAGTTTTTCCATATTTGTATGTATTGAAGATACAGATACAGATACATATGTGTATAAATATTCTTTAAAAATTGATGTACTTTAGAGCTCCCTGGTGATACAAGGGATTAAGACTCAGCGCTACAAAGCTATCTGCATCCTCCGCAACATGAATTCCATCCTGGGTCAGGGAGCTGACCCACATGGGGCAACTGACGTCTCCTGCCTATTCACTGCTTCTTTCACCAGTATATTTTAGTACATCTGCCTACTCTGTTTCCACTCTGACTGATGAATCCTCTCACCTACACCCTGCACTCTGGCTCAGTAATTATGTGTAAAAATAAAAAAGTCCTTAAAAAAAAATTTAAAAAAACTTGAGTCCTCCTTGGTGGGGCAGTGAGTTAAGGCGTGGCACTGCAAGCTAGCCAAAGTGCTTCAGTGTGAGTTGGATCACCCACCCCAGAGGTGGCCCACATGGCACAGCAGACCTCTCCTGACCCGCCTGCTGCTCCCCTCAGCAGTGTACTTCACTGATCTGCCTGTTCTGCTCCCCACTCTGTCTCTGGTGAATCCTCTCACTGCTTCTGGCCTACACCTCAGTTCTCTATGAATAAATAAGCCTTTATAAAAAAAAAAAAAAACTTGAACTTTTCTTATAGTAACCATAAAATGCATTATGTAAGAAACAGGATTTAACCTACAAATCCAGAAAACAACAGTTAATAAAGTTTAGGACTTTTTTCCACATCATATTTTCTTATACATGTGATTTTTTTTTTAAAAGATTTATTTATTCATACAGAACTGGGGAACAGGCCAGAGATGCGGAGGGTGAGAAGATTCACCAGAGTGGGCAGCAGAACAGGCAGATCAACAAAGTACACTGCTGAGGGGAGCAGCGGGCAGGTCAGGAGAGGTTTCTGCCACGCCATGTGGATCTCCTCCAGGGCAGGCGGGGATTGAACTCATGCGGAAGTGGCTCAAGCTTCTTAGTGCTGTGCTTTAACCCACTGCGCCACCAGTGGGTGGCCCATACATGTGATTTTTACAATAGAAAAGTTTCTAAGCGAGTCAGACTAGAGCATGGTTTACAGGACCGTGTATTACCTTTGTAAATATATAACTAGAACATGTAAGAAAGGGTTACAACCTTTTGAAATAAACTAAATTTTAGAAAAAAAATGAATTTTCTTTTACTGATTTAACTGGTTTATTTGTACTATCATAAATAAAAATGAGTGTGATGGTATTTATAGGTTGTCTCCCTCTTATCATTTACATAACTATATAGTGATAACTGGCAATTTGTGCTAGAGTGAGCATCTCTGCCATTCTTGAAATCTGGAATGGTGTATAGAAATAAGAAAAAATTGGGATTTGATTTAGCTTTTCTCAAGAATAGCTAGTCATGTGACATATATATTGTAC